TCCATTCATCACAGTGTTATTCATAGGTTGTCATGATCCACACAGTTGAAAGCATTTTCATAGTCAATAAAGCAAGGAAAACATCTTTCTGGTATTCTCTGAACAAAAATTATCCCATAAGATAATTTAGCTAAAGAACTGATTGGCTTGTAAAATAAATCTTATCACTCTTGAGTACCATGCTCCTATATAAAAACCATACAAGTCAACCTGAAGCAAAGATAAGAAGGCAAGGGTGTAAGGAAACTAGGTTACTGGAAAATAAACAACTAGAACAGAAAGAATGTGTAAAATTGACACACTATTTGTAATGTAAATGTAACTAATGTCAGTGAACAAACTGTGTAGAAATTGTCATATGTGAATCTAATCAACTTCCATTGAAAATACAATAAAATATTATTTAAAATGCAAAAACACTCAACAAAATGAAAATAACCCAATTTGAAAAATGACCAAATACCTGAAGAGACACACCACCAATTATATATATATATACACACACACACAAACATATAAAGAGCACAAACATATAAAGAGCTGTATGACATCACTTTTCATTACCAAAAATCAAAACCCAATGTCATCAAGTTGACTCTGACTCACAGAGATTAGAAAAGCCCCAAAGGATTTCAAAAGTTGTAATTTTTAAGGAAACAGATTGGAACATTGGGGTTTGAACTACAGGCTTTTCAGTTAGTAGCTGAGCACTTAACCACTGTGCCATCAGCCACTCCTTGTCAATAGGGAAAGGCAAATTAAAATAATGTGATAGCATTGCACATGTACTTTAAACAGCAACTAGCTGTCATCAAGTCAATTCTGACTCACGACAATCCCTATTTGTGTTAGACTAGAACAGCTGCATAGGCTCTTCAAGGGCTAATATTTCTGAAGTAAACTGCCCGGTATTCCTTCCTAGACAGCTCTGGGTAGTCTCAAGCATCCAACTTTTCTAGCAGCAGCCAAGCATAATAAATGTTAGCACCAACCAAGAATTCAACACAGATATTGGAATTGTTAAATTCCTTAAAAACAAAAATAATAACAACAAACATCAACCCAAGACCCCAACCATTTCAAATGTTAGCAAGGATCTAATAGAACAGGCGCTCTGAATCTTTGCTCGGTAGGAATGCACTTTGGAAACAACTTTGGTAGTTTTCAATAAAATTAATATTTATTAAATATATAGCATAATAATAGCATTGCTACGTTTAACCAACTAATTTGAAAACATATGTCCACATAAAAACCTGTATGCATATGCTTATAATAAATTCATAAATAATCTCCAGAGTGTAGAAGTGCCCAGATATCCTTTACATAGGTGAATGGATAAATTAACCATGATACATCCTATAGCTTGGTGTGGTGCTACAGGATAAGCACTGGACTGCTAACGTAAGGTCAGTGGTTTAAGTCCACCAGCCGCTCTTTGGAAACCCTATACAAGGTCGCTACCTACTCAATCGTGCTAAACAGCAACAAAAACATGATCCATACAAAGTAAAACTATTCAGCAATAAAAAAAATGCCATGGCTGTGAGCCTGATTCTTTTCAAGATAAACCCATTAACAACAGGCCAAAACGCCATTCCCAAAATCAGCTGCTAAGGGTTTGAAGATCAGAGATTATTGGACAAGAAAAATGACAGGGGATTTTCAGAGGGTGCAATTAATCTGGAAACATGACATTATGCATATGTTGAAACCCACAGATTTAGCAGCATAAAAAGTGAACTTTAATGTATACAAATTTAAAACTATCAACCACAGGTCAGGCGACTACAGGATGGAATGCAGACTATGACATATATAGAGCCCAACTATAATACAAACGTATGGCATAACCTCATATAAGGAGGCAGAGAGTGAAGACAAAAAAGCACCAATGTAAGTAACTATAACTTTGGAAATGGTGTTTTAATTGGGAAAAAAGAAAATAAAAAACTAAAAGGACTGTACATAAAAAGTATACTCTAGTTGGTAAAGTTGTTTCTCATGGTATATGAGTATAGATCAATGATGCTTAAAAAGTAATACTGGGGTTGCACACTGAGGTTGTATACTGGAGTCCTGGTGTGGCACTGTGGGTTAATGCGCTGGACTGCAAGGTCGGTTTGAACTGCAAGGTTGGCGGTTCAGGATCACCAGCCGTACCTGGGAAACCCTACACTGGGTCACTATGAGTTGGAACCAATTCGAAGATACTTAGTAACAACAACATACTGAGGTTAAACAAATAAGTAAATGGATGGTGGATGCTAGGAGTCAGGTTTTTCACTGTTGGAAAGGGAAATTACAAATATCTAACAATGGGAGACATCAGTACAAACTTAACTGTTAGGCATTGCTGATAGGTAAATAGATACATGGAATACAAAATTAGATGTTTCAACAAATGATGCAGTGCTGGAAGAGCTCACTTGTATATGCCAAGAAATCTGGTAGATCTGGCCAAACAACTGGAAGAGATCCATACCTGTGCTCATCACAAAGAAAGATGACCCAAAAGAATGTATAGCATTTAACAGTATCATTAATATTGCAGGCAAATAAAACTGCTGAAGATTATAATTTTTTAAATAGTTTCAGGAGTATATTGACAGGGAACAACTAGAAATTAGCTAAAATCAGAAAATGACATGGAGCCGGAGAAACCATTGTTGATGTCAGATGGACCTTGACTGAAAAAATGAGAATACTAGAAAAATGATTTCCTGTGTTTTATTGACCGTACAAAGGCATTCGACTTTGTGTATCATAAAACTATGGATAACACTGAGAATGGGAATTCCAGAGTACTATTTATTTTGCTCAAGCTCAACCTGTACATAGACCAAGAGGCAGCCACAGAACAAGGGCATATTGCATGAAAATCACAAAGAGTGTGCATCAGGGTTGTACCCTTTTACCGTATTTATGCAGTCTGTATGCTGAGTACATAATCCAAGAAGAAGCAGGACTCTACAAAGAAGAACATAGCATCAAGATTGAAAAAAGACTCATTAACAAAGTAGGCTACACAGATGACGCAGCCTTGCTTCTGACAGCAAAGAGAACTTCAAACACTTACTGAGGAAGATCAAAGACTGATAGTATGTGTTACATCTCAAAACAAAGAAAATAAAACTCCTCACAACGGGACTAATAAACAGCCTCATGATAAACAGAGAAAAGACTGAAATTGTCAGGGAATTCATTTTACCTGAATCTACAATCAATGTCCATGGAAGCAGCAGTTAGAAAATCAGACAACATACTACACTGGACAACTATACTGTAAAATATTTCTTAAAGTATTAAAGAGCAAAGATGTCCCTTTAAGGACTAAGGTGCACCTGATTCAAGCCATAGTATTTTCTATTACCTCATATGCATACGAAAGCTGGAGAATGACTACGGAAGACCAGAGAGGAACTGATATATTTGAATTATGGTGTTGGTGAAGAATATTGAAAATACCATAGATTCCCAGAAGAACAAACAAATCTATTTTAGAAGAAGCTCAATCAGAATTTTCCTTAGAAGCGAAGATGGCTTGACTTCATCTCAAACACTTTGGACATGGTATCAGAAGGACCAGTCCCTGGAACTTATTTACTAATCATGCTTTGTTAAGTAGATCAGAGAAAAAGAGGAAGACCCTTAAGAAGATGAATTAACATAACGGCTGCACCAATGAGCTCAGAAATAGCAACAATTGTGAGGATGGCACAGGAATGGCAATGCTTCCTTCTGTTGTACATAGGGTCACTGTCAGTCAGAATGGACTCCGTAGCACCTAACAGGAGCATTCAATTTTACAAGTCATAGTGTAGTGGTTACGAATTGGCCTGCGAACCTTAAGGTCAGCGGTTCGAAACTTTCTCCGCTCTGCGGGAGAAAGATGAGGCTTTCTACTCCCGTAAAGATTTACACCCTGTACAGGGTCGCTATGGGTCGGAACTGACTCGACGGCACTTAACAACAACATACTTCTAGAGGCTGTGGACCCTTTTTAACCAAATCATTTTTCTGGACTAGCAGCATTTGTAAATTTGTTAGAAATGTACAATTTGAAGCCCTACCCTGGACTATTGCACTAGAATCTGTACTTTTAAAAGATCCCTAGGTGAAAAAAAGATCCCTAGGTGATTTGTGTAAACATTAAAACTTGAGAAGCACCTATTTCTCAGGCATTGTTTTCTAAGTTTAGTCTATATTGCTAGTGAAACATGTAGACACATAGGCTTCATCCTTTGCCTGCATCACTGAAGTTTAAGAGCCAGTTAAAAGAACTACACACAAAAAAGTAGTGAGGAACAACAATGAGGCTATGAAGCAGACAGCAGAAAAAGTATGCAGGTTTCTGAAATAAATTTGAAAAACTGATAATAAAAGTAAGAGGGAAGAAAAGAAGAGTCATAAAGTTCTGAAGAAGTGGAGTACAGAAAGTAACTGTGATTGTTATCCCTGACATGCAAACTACTAGTATAATTTTGTTGTTGTTGTTAAAGTGCCATCGAGTCAGTTTCAACCTATAGTGACCCTATATAGGGTTTCCGAGGAGCAGCTGGTGAGCTTGAACCACAGCCCTTACAGTTCAAATGGCTTTGCAGTCTGGCGCATTAACCCACAGCGCCACACCAGGACTCCACTAGCATATTTTAGACATGTGTAAATTTCCTAGTGTAATACATTAAAAACAAATCAATTAATGTTTTTGAGTATGTGTTGTTAATAAGTGTTGTTCAGTTGGTTCCAACTCATAGAAACCTAGTATAGGGTTTCCAACACTATAAATCTTTGTGGGAGCAGAAAGCATACTCCTCCTCCCACAAAGCAGCTGGTGGACTCGAACTACTGACCTTGTGGTTCACAGTCCAGTGCTTATTTTACAGAGCCACCATCATGCTCCATTTTGAATATGTAAATACTATATAATAACTTCACTTTAAACAACTATGCTGTTAATATTTATATAAACTGTATGTTAGTTTCAAATATGTACATACACTTTTAATGACATTTCCATATTCCTGGCTCGTGCAATTGCTTCATCTCTCTCTTCATTGGCTAATCGTAGTCTAGACAAAACAGCTTCATCACGTTCCTTCTGGGCACAATATACTTCTTCAATCAGAGCTACCAAAATATATAAGCCATAATTAATTACAGAAAATAAAGGAGAAATACATACTTTTAGCAAAAATAAATGTCATTTTTAGGAATGCCTGCTGGTTTAATTAAATGGTTTCAAAGGCACTATTATTGAAGAGATTCAAGTAACATTATTTTTTAAGTTATTTTAAAAGTTAAAATTAAAGACTAATAATAAATGTTTGGAGTACTGGTGTGGCACTGAAGGATAAAGCACTTAGGTCAGTGGTTCAAACTCACCAGCCATTCCTCAGAAACCCTATACAATATCGCTTAACAACAATAACAAATATTATATAATGACAACAAATTTGAAATTATAAGACAAAGGAGACTCTCCTTTGTCATGCTGATTATTATTATTTCTGTTAGCTGCCAACTCATGGCGAGAAAGTAGAACTGCTCTATAGAGTTTTATGATTGCAAACTTTATAAAGTATAAAAAAGCAGAGAATGCCAGAAAGATCTTTTCTTGTCCTTTATTGGATATGCAAAAAAACATAGAGCATAGCAACTATGGATAACATTGAGAAGAATGGGAATTCTAGAGCATAGTTGTACTCATGAGGAACTTGTTCACAGAGCAAGAGGCAGTCATTTGAACAGAACAAGGGGATACTGCATTGTTTAAAATCATGACGGGTGTGCATCAGGGTTGTATCATTTCACCAGATTTATTCAATCTCTGTGCTGAGCAAATCATCCAAGAAGCTGGATTATATGAAAAATAACATGTCTTCAGGATTGGAGGAAAATAGTTTAACAACCTGTGAACCAGATGACACAATCTTGCTTGCTGAAAGCTAGAAGAACTTGAGGCACTTGTTGATAAGGATCCAAGACTGCAGTCTTTAGTATGGATCACAATACAATGTAAGAAAGCATCTAAGACCCATCTGAGATTACCAATAATATCCCTCGTTCCACATCCCCATCTGAGTATAGCATGAATCTCTAGCAGAGCCCTGTCAATGTACTGCTGCAATCACTCTTTAATCATCTTCAGCAAAAATGTACTTTCAAGGGATATTAATGATATTAATTACTTCCACATTTTGTTGGGTCACTTTTCTATGAAACAGGTACAAGAATGGATCACTTCCATTGATTGACCAGTTAGCAGTCTTCCAAATTTCTTGGCATAGACAAATCTAGCGCTGAGATTGTCATATTCAAAATGGTCAATAGTCCATTTCAGCTCACTAATGCCTAGGATAATAATGTTATATGTTCCAATTTTCCTAGATTCATCCATTTTCCAATCGTTAATCGATGTTTGCAGCTGTTTCTTCTCATTTTGAGTTGTGCCTTATCAGCAAATGAAGGTCCTGACAGCTTAAAGATATATATATACATACACATACATGCTGTTTGGAAGACAACTATCTGGCCGAATGATTGGAAGAGATCAATATTTGTGCCCATTCCAAAGAGAGGTGACCCAACAGAATGCGGAAATCATCGGACAATCTCTTTGATATC